AGACTTTAACGATAATTTTTAAAGATAAATCATTTTAAATGTTTTTGTAAGATATTGTGATAATTTGAGAAGCTTTCACTCCACATCATATTGAATGCCTGCGCCTCCTAGCCATAAGACCATTTAAAATGTTCCCCCCTTAACTACTACTACTAGTCCTACATAATGAGGTATACTGCTTACTCATTATCCTTACTGTTATTTGTATGGAAGTTCAACCAGTGATGTAATGACAAATGTAGCTGTTATGTTATGTGGTCCTTTTAATGTTTTCAAAGTCAACTTTTTAAAGTGAATGTTCTAAACTCTCTGTATGGCTTTGGACCTTTTATCTATTGCATGTCGAGATAATTGTTGAAGATGACAATAATAATGTATTCAGAGAAAATTGCACAAAATGTAATAATTCTTTAAAAATTGTAACGTACATAGACTATTTATATGAATAGCCGTTATGTAACCAAACTAACAAAAAAAAGCATGTGAAAACAAACAAAAGTGAACATTTGACTTGTTTTTTCGAGCAAGGTACATTTTTTCAGGTTTAGATTCCTCCTCTGATGGCTGGGAACAGATGTTGCTAATATTCATCCATATGGCTCAGAAAACATGCCCTGTACAGTGCTTAAAAAGCGCTGAAAAGATCAGAAACATTTTTAGCAATCGTATATTCACTTTTCCATGAAAATGATCATCATTAAGCCAATTACAGAAGGAGAGAATCGCAGCTGGCCACTAAATGAAATAGGAGTTTGGAAACTTTTCATCTTGATATGAACAATTTTACAGTACCAGAATAAAAATAAACGTGTTTTTTTCGTCTTATTAGTGTTTGCTATTGCCTAAGATACTGCATTAAAAGGACAGACTCACCCCGATTAGTAATATAAATATTATACATCATGGGATGTGGTGCCCCCACCAGGTCCACGCTTACATTTGCTGGAGATGTGATACGTGTTATGCACAGTGCCATTCATATGGAGCCTGTTATGTAATGATATGGGTGCTGTGTCTGGGGTCACATAAGTTGCATAAGCAGTAGTGATGTCCCGAACGGTTCGCCGAACGGTTCGCAAACGGTTCGCCACGGACTCATCATTGAGTAAACTTTGACCCTGTACCTCACAGTCAGCAGACACATTCCAGCCAGTCAGCAGCAGACCCTCCCTCCAAGACAGCTCACTAAGAATGCAGCTTCATAATGAATGTAAAATGGAGGTGGGAGGGTCTGGGAGGGAGGGTCTGCTGCTGATTGGCTGGAATGTGTCTGCTGACTGTGAGGTACAGGGTCAATGTTTACTCAATGATGAGTCCGTGGTGAACCGTTCGTGGCGAACCATTCGCGAACCGTTCGTGGCTAACCGTTCGGGACATCACTAATAAGCAGAATAAAAACATAGAAATGTAACTTTGGTCTTGAATTAATTAGAACGCTTACCAAACCAATATGTTGTTAACATGACAATATTTCATCCCACTTTATCAAGACTTAAAGGAACAATCCATGAAAAAAATAAAATAAAATATATATATATATATATATATATATATATATATATATATTTAAATGGTTAGTAGATATGTCACTAATGAAAACATGCATGGAATATGTTTTGCATACTTGGTTTTGTTGGTATATTAAATAACCTCATGACAGAATAACAAAGTTACTAGCATGGGCTCAGAAATATCTATCTAGGTTCTTGATTCTGGTCTGTTTCTTTACAAATGTATTAATTTATTAATTTTAGGTTGGGGTTAATAAGCAGCTTAGCGTTCCATGATGGATAAGAAGTCTGCCCAATCATGTTACTGTATCTCTCTTTAGTGAGGACTTACAGCAGAGAATCAATGTCTGATATTGGTGGTGGTGGCATTGATGAATCAGGTGATGCAAAATTCTGCTCTCACACCACTCCTGACATAGAACTCTGACCCAGGATCCACTTGACTTTGAGTATGATAAGTGTGGAGAGGACAGACATCAGCTGAACTCGTTACCGTTGGCACAAGTATCTCATGCACTGTCAAAGTTACTATCAACATCAAAACTATCATCAGAGCCAGCAATATCATCATTATCAACATGGTGTACTGGCATCATCAGCATTGACATTAGCTTTAATCTACTGAGTACTAGTGTACAGGCTAGTGTTGTGATAGCTGTTATGGATGTAAATTAACCTGCATCTTCAGTAGACACAAAGCAAAAGGCTGAGGGTGCTGTAATGTGGCAAAGAAGCAAAGTTTGTAATCATTTTGTGTGCCTCCAAGAAGGCCAAGGTGCAGCAGGGAGCAAATGAAGGGTCATTCCACTAGTGCCAGTGTAAAGTAACATCTATAAAGACACCACAAGTCTGTATTATTAAGGGAGGAGGCTGACCAAGAAACTTAGACAGGTAGCAGGTCCAATGGTTGTGAACAGAGGCATGCTGGACAGAAATGGTCAAACTCCTCATTGTGAGGAAAAAATAAAAAGCTCCTCTTACATAACTGGTAGTACCAGTGCCTCGTACTCCCATATTCATCCACTGGCTTAGCATTCAGTGTGCTTCTGTGCCATCAAGCTTCTTCCCTCAGTAATATTCACATTGTGAGGCTGCAGTTTACTGCAAAAGTGAACCCTCCCTTTATGGCATGGCAGGTCTTTTTTTAACATATTTTCTAAAGAAAAGGTTAGTGGGCACTTGGCAATGGATGACCCACTCACACTTACCACCATCCAGAAGAACAAAGCTTTCCTATATATCCACGTGGTAGCAGCAGGGCAAAACCACAACAATTGATGGCATATATATATTTTTTTAAATAGGGAGTATCAGGAGTCATTTAACTGGGGGGGAAATTAAAGGAAACATTTTAGTGGGCATTTAATGACCCACTTACCTGTTCGATCATCTCCTTTTTTTTTAATCCCCCTATTCCAATTAAATGACTCCTCCTGCTGCTATGGCACTGTGTTTTATCCACACAGAAGAACTGTCACTAATGCTACAGACTCGATGTGTTGGAAGCTTTGTTTTTCTTGGAGTCGAAGTGTGAGTAGATAGTAAATTGCCCACTGACTTTTTCCTTTTATTTTTTGGAAAAAAATCCCCTATTTTAAACTTAAAGTGACTCCTGCTCTTCATTTTTCATTAATACAAGATTGAAAAACATTACAATAAATCATTCAAAGTTTTCTCACTTCTTATTTTCCACAAACCAAAAGTTATGGTGGGGAAATTTGTGATTGAAAAAACCCCTTCCACCTGATGTCAGTGGATGGTCAATGCATTGTTAAACCCAGATCTGCACACTAGTCAAACGATAGGACATTCTTATTTTCCAGATATATAAAAAGAATCTTATTCTGGCAACTCAGAATTGGCATTGCAAAAATGACTGTTAATGTGTAGCCATTAGGCCAGGCAAAATTGTATATCAGCACAGTCACAGTGCCTTTTTTGGCTGCTGTTCTGGTCTTACTGAATATTTTTCAATAATGAAATTTGGCAAAACCAAACAACTGACTAAACTTAATTCTGTCGACCTGATTTTTTTTTCTTTTTCTGAAGTATCACAGAAAAAGCAAAGATGGTCACTCTGCACAATTTAACAATTGGTAAGGTGTTCTATTTTTCTTCCCAAACCAACCTTTGTATCCAAAGAGTAAAATTTTTCCTTCATCATACCACACAAAGTTCTTCCAAAGTTTCTCTAGTTTATCTACAGGGTGGGCCAATGATGTATGTATGATATTACATACAATGAATGCTTAACGGATGGAGATTTGTTTGACTAGGTACAGAAGATGACATCTTTTAAATGAGCTCCATTTTCCACCTTCAAAGTTGGGATCTTTCGTTTGTATTGTTCGTAACATTAGTTCATTTTTGAGTCTCTAGCGCTCAAACATCTGCACGTATATTCTCCTTGACCTGCTCAAGTGTATGTGGTTTGTTCAGGTACAGCCGCTCCTTCAGATATCCCCACAGGAAGTAATCGGGAGCTTCGATCGTTGCGGACAATTAATTTGGGGATTTCTTTAAATTCGATGAACAGTTGTCTCAGTTTTGAAAATAAAATTCCATTATTTTTACTTCTTGTTCCTTCATGAAATTCACTTCATGAATTTCGCAAGACTCCCATTTATAAGATGTACCTGTAAAAATGTTTTTTAACTACTAACAAATAGTTATTTACACGTCAAATCCTACTCTAAATTTTGACCCACCCTGTATAGGTTGTCCCACATACTGCAGGTAGGGTTTCCTTCTGTTGACCATTCTACCAAAATTGTGTGCATTTTGTTTTTGACCAGTCTACAAGATGTTCTGTTGGAGATTATTCTTGGTCTCTGATATATTTCTTCAACTTCAACAGTTCCTCTTAATTACCGTTTTACAAAAGGGAATTGTGTTTCATTTCTGATCCTCAGTCAGTTTCTTAGATGAGATCTTTGTAGATGAAAACACCCTGAGAGATACCAAGAGACAGATAATCCATTAAATGCTGGAACTGATACCACTAGATTTAGAATCAATTTAGACTACTAAGGTTTTGAGGTCTTACAAAGAAATCATGAGTGGATTAACTAATAGGGTGCTCAAACTTTTTCAGATTCCACATTCACAGTTTTATTTTAATTCTATCAGTTAAATTTGGCAAATAATAACTGTGCATTATAACTGACTCAAATATGTCACAGTGTGCAGTACTGACATTGCGTGTCTTCACGTTCTGACAGGAGAGAATGAAAGTTCCCCAAAGAGGTACATTGATTGGCGCAGTGCAGTGTTTTGCTGTGCATGTGCAATTGACACCCAACGGTTTCCTATGGCATAGCACTGGATTCCAAAAAACAATAGGACAAGCCGTGGATGGTGCTAAATAAATTAATTTTACAACTTTTTAAAAAACGGTTTGTATTAGCAGCACTTTATTAGTGTATTAGCTCTACAACACTTAATTAGACAGAAAAAAACAAATATAAAGTGCGCTGTGCCTTTAAGATTATGCGCACAAAAAAACTCTTGTCGGTCCTTTTCATCACCGTCAATACAATAAGCAGGGTTAACATACGGTTCCCAGAAACCGGTACTTCTGGCATCCGAAGTCTCCTTGCTTGTTCCGGGAGGCGTAGTCCACAATGTCCTGTGTCAAAACGTAAAGATTGTGATGATGCAGGACATTGTGGACTCCGCCTCCCGGAACAAGCAAGGGAACTTCGGATGCCAGAAGTACCGGTATCTGGGAACCGTATGTTAATTCTGCTTACTGTATTGACGGTAATGAAAAGGACCCCCATTTAAATGCCTGCTGTTTTTATCAAGTGGAATAAAGTTGTTTATCTTTATTCATGGCTGTCCGTTATATTTGTCAAGGAAATAGATCCTGGGTACACTGTAACACAGTGAACAAGCGCAAATAGCCTGAGCAGTCTCTTTACCTGCTCATCGTTTGTGAGTGCTATAATATACCTCTTTTTAAATATATAATTGTGTTTGCAATATTACACTATCTGCCTTTTAAAGCATTGGATTGGCTGAGATCATAAAATAATGTGATTATCTCGGCCATAGAGGCAGAGCAAGGTGGGACCAGCAGTAGCGAGACCTGCGCGCTGTAAAAAAAAGTTGAGTTTAAACACCTTTTCACTGCTCTGACATGAGGACTATGGACCTAAATACTGGGATTAACACTAGAGTGTCAGGGATACATGTTTATGTTCCTGACACTGTAGGGTTCCTTTAAGTTACCCGTAAAGCTGAGTCAGTTTTTAGTTTGAGTTCTACGTTTATGCGCAATACTTTTTTTTTTAAATAAAATAGCTTAATGTTATTTTGTTATATCAAAAACTGCTATTTTCCAGAACATATGACATTTTACAGGAAATAAACAGGAAATAAGGTGATGACAATGACCTCTTGTTCTGTACATCACGTATGTGATACACGTGAAAATATGAATGAAAGTATTGTTAATAGAATATCCTTTTGGGACTGGATAATCACCTTCAGCAGCACTAATTGTAAGAAAATAATAATTATAAGAATATATTTGCCTATGACAAATACGACAATGGATGGAAAGCAAGACAGCACCTTTTACTGCTTTGAAATATACTACATGTCCTGGAAATTAAACAGTAGACAATAAGGCTAATAGAACGCCCTATGCTTAATTTCCTGCTTCTCCCCAAAGCTTGTCACTAAAAAATTCTGAGTCCAATAAAAAAGGTATTACAAGATACAAATGTTATCTGTTTTAACCCCTTAAGGACGGAGCCAAATGTACACATTGTGAACAAAACAAAATGTAAACAAAACCTGGCATTTGCGCTACATGTCTGTCCAACCGTAATACACCTCTTTCATAGTAAATGCACTCACCCTTATTATGTATCATTTTATTCAGGGGAAACAGGGCTTTCATTTAATATCAAATATTTAGCTATGAAACATAATTTAATATGAAAAAATGGGAGAAAATACGTTTTTTTTTTAAATTTTTTTAGTTCTACATGACATTTTAACGATCAATGTCATAATACTGTTTGCTTTTACTGCAATAAAATACACATATTTATATTCAGTAAAGTCTCACGTGTAAGACAGTACCCCCTATGTACAGGTTTTATGGCATTTTGGGAAGTTACAGGGTCAAATATAGCATGTTACATTTGAAATTGAAATTTGCCAGATTGGTTACGTTGCCTTTGAGACTGTATAGTAGCCCGGGAATGAAATTTACACCCATAATGGCATACCATTTGCAATAGTAGACAACCCAAGGTATTGCAAATGGGGTATGTCCAGTCTTTTTAGTAGCCATTTGGTCACAAACACTGGCCAAAGTTAGCGTTAGTATTTGTTTGTGTGTGAAAATGCAAAAAATGCCAATTTTGGCCAGTGTTTGTGACTAAGTGGCTACTAAAAAAGACTGGACATACCCTGTTTGCAATACCTTGGGTTGTCTACTATTGCAAATGGTATGCCATCATAGGGGTAATTTTCATTCTTGGGCTACCATAGGGTCTCGAAGGCAACATAACCAATCTGGCTAATTTTAATGTGAAAAAACTGAAATGCAAGCCTTATATTTGACGCTGTAATCTTTAGAACAATATAAATTCCAGTACATGAGGGTAATTGTTAGAGCTGAGACTCTACACAATATTTGTGTTTCAGTAAAAAGTATCACAGCAATATTGTCCGTAATTGTTTCTAGCGTGAAAATGCAAAAAAGTCACTTTTACTGGGGATATCATCGTTGTAATACATTTTACTGTTTTGAAACACTAATATTTGTGTTCAGCGAAGTCTCCCGAGTAGAACAGTACCTCCCATGTACAGGTTTTATGGTGTCTTGGAAAGTTATAGGGTTAAATATAGTGCTAGCAAATTAAATTCTCTTTACTTTCGGCATGGGTTGTCAGGCAGGTCCTGCTAATTGTAATTAATTAAGATACCTAATTATTTAAAAATATTATATAAATATGTAGAATTAATATGTGTGTGTGTGTGTATGTGTGTATATATATTTATTGTGATCCTTGTTTGCAGGTAGCACGGCCCTCTAGGGTAAAAACATGCACAGTCCTTGTAATTGCATATACTCAGGCACTTTATTTGCGAATCCACACAGGATACAGCATTAAATTAAAACCTAAATGAAACACAAAACCCTATAAACAAAAACCTAGCTCAGTCTGAGCACTAACTAACTTTGAATGTCCCTCTCTATCAGGGTTAAACTAACAAAACATATGGCACCAACCTTATTAGTTAGCAACACTCTGCTGGCTAGCCTGTTGCTTTCCTTTCCGCACTCCTAGTGCTCCAAGCCAGCCTTGACTTGACTGCTTTCCTTTCTGCATTCCCAGTGCTCCAAGCCAGCCTTGCCCTGACTGCTTCCTTTCTGCACTCCAAGTGCCTAGTCTCCATGACTCTATCTGGAGAGAACAGCCTCTCTCTCCTACCTGCTTCCTGGGAGGAAGCCAGCAATCCCTCTCCTTTACCTGCCTAGCAGGGAGGAGTTTATTCCCACTGCAACAGCTGATTAACTGCAGCTGAGCAGTGGGTTGGAGACAGTCCAAAAAACCCTGGCCTGGATCTATGTCTCCCCAGAAAACCACTAAACTGTGGAGTGGAGCATTGGCCCACCCTTCTCTCCAAATGCTCCACCCCAGGGGCCAATAACTAAACAGTGTTTTGTGTTGCCTACAACACATCCTACACATACTCCCCCTGGGGTTAAATGTTATAGGCCTATCTGCCTTCACTTTATCACAATATATATATAAAATAACTATATATAAATATTGTAGATATATACATATATATATATATATATATATATATATATATATATATATATATATATATATATTTTAAATTTATTATTTTGCTCTACGTGTATTTTGATATAAATATATATATATATATATATATATATTAATATCCCAATACAGTTAGAATGAAATAACACATCTATATATTTTTTAATTATTTATTTTTAATTATTTTAATTTTATTTTTTAACGTAGTTACATATTTATTTATTTTTATATTATATATATATATATATATATATTTAATCAGTATCAGTCTACGTGTAATTTGA